TATCACACGGGGCCGGTAAAATGTTTCATTCAGGACCGAGGGATTTGTTGAGTTTTCCGCACGACACCGAAGGTCGAGGGCGGAAAATTCAACAAAGCCCGAGGTCCTGAATGAAACATTCCGGCCCAAGTGTGATATTTATTTTAGCATATGCTGTTTAATTTCCATATTTAAGCTTCTTTAACAATTTTACATTCTTGAAAGAAGTGGAAAAACCAAGACCGAATATCAAGAACTAAAAAATGTACATATTCCCTGACCAAGATAATAAACCAAGCCGACTCATCCTTGTGTCTGGCTGTGAGTTGGATTTCTATCAAACCAAGAACATCTACTTCAATCTATGTCATATGAGAAGCTAGAGTAACGTTCGTTTTCAATATTAGAGAAGAGTGGAAGGTATACCTACAATCCTGTGAAGTGAGCGCTTGGTTTTCTACCCATGTCAATATGAATAAAGTTTTTACTGATCAATGTGAAATGCGTTTTTTTTTTTTGTCAATTCATTACACTTGTAAAAGGCATGAAATTGGCGCTACAGTAGGTGATTGATTAATCTGTCAGTACATTAAGATTTAAAATATTATCTTATTGAAAACCAACATTTACAATCTCTTCAATAGTTCAAAGCGACCAAATGCAACACGTCAGTTAACGTTAGATTTATATCAGTTAAGCTTTTTTCCAGCGCCTTCCTCCGTCTCAGGAAATGCTTCAAAAGTTCGCTGGTAAAATGTTTTGCCCATGGGCCGAAACCTTTGCTCAATTGACTTCAACATTATGCGGTTTAATCCAAAAAGCTTTTACCGCACGCTCGCGCTAATGCTAAAGACATACTCCGGCATATGCTAAAAGGGGGGGTCATATGGGTCATGGCCCCCCCCCCTTGGGACCTTGTGGTGCCCCACGGGGGCACCACAGGCCTGCCAGGGCCACCACCGGCCTATCAATTTCCAGGGGCACCACAGGCCTGACAGGGGCACCACAGGCCCGCCAGGGGCACCGCAGGCCCGCCAGGGGCACCACAGGCCCGCCAGGGGCACCACCGGCCTCGCAGGGGCCAGGGGCACCCCCGGCCTCGCAGGGGCACCACCGGCCTCGCAGGGGCACCACCGGCTTCGCAGGGCCCAGGGGCACCTTGGGCTTATCAGGGGCATTTCAGGTTTGTCAGGAGCACCACAGTCCTGCCAGAGCCCAGAGGCACCAGCGGCCTAGCAGGGGCACCACAGGCCCGCTAGGGGCACCACAGACCTGCCAGGGGCACCACAGGCCTAGCAAGGGCACCGCGGGCCTGTCAGGGGCACCACGTGCCTGTCAGGGCACATCAGGCTTGTCAGAGCCCAGGGGCACCACAGTCCTTTCAGGAGCACCTCAGGCCTGTCGGGGGCACCAGAGGTCTAGCAGGGGCACCACAGGCCAGCCAGGGGCACCACCGGCCTCGCAGGGGCACCTTGGGCCTGTCAGGTGCACCACGTGCCTGTCAGGGACACTTCAGGGTTGTCAGGGGCACCACAGTTCTGTCAGGGCCCAGGGGGCAGGGGAAAAATAAAAAAAAACAGGAAAAAAACTAAAAATAGGGCCCCACCAAAAATAAAGTGGCCGAAATCCGTTGAGTTTTTAGTTTTGGGTATAGGTAGGGTGCCCCACTTCGATTCATGACCCCTCCCTTGGAGTTTTTCTGGATCCGCCCCTGAATGTTTCTAGTTATGCTTCAGTTGTATGAGCAAGAAGCACGTCCTCGCAACTTAAACGTCGTTTTTGGCCGTGCACGAAGACCTCATCCGTCTGCCCATAGTACGAGTTCATCCCCTGTTCCTATCTAGACGGTCACCGGCTACCAGTTGGAGTAGATAACATCGGAGCAAATCCAACGAGCTGGCCATCAACGTGACTATAGGTGGACCTCGGCCCCTGTTACACGATACGACCCTCCCCGCCGCTACAAGGTATCGACACTTAGCCAGTTTCCATCAAGACGTTGGCAACATTGTGAAGTTTGTTTACGTTTCCATAGGAACGGAGGCTACCTGAGGATGTTAGGTACTGCAGGTAGCAGCGTGCCGCTAAACAGTGACTATAGCTTTGACCCCAAGTCTGGTTTAGCCACGTGTTACATCTCAAGATATCTGTGGCTTAGACCCAGGTCAGGTCATTTTGCACCATATATATTGCCTTATACTCAATGCTCACATAAGTCAATAAGAGAAAATTGAAAGGCGTCTCGTTTGGTCTGGGCGGGTCATTCTTAACACCCTAAAACATCGGGTTACCTACATGTAAACAGTGACATGAAAACAGTCACCAGCAGTTTTTTTTTTTACTATAACTTTTGACAGAGATGTGCTAGAGCGGTGAAAACACGTCAGATGTGTTCAGCTTGACGATACGGATCGACTGATATGCAGCATGACCCTTTCCGGTCAGGTCATGACCTTGACCTGACGTAATATTTTCAAAATGACATTTCAAGGTCAACCTATAGTTCATTCGACGTGTCTCGACGAGGGAAACACGATGCTGGCAAAAGTAATGCCGTGACTCGTTTGAGTCAAAAGTTATTTAAAAAAAAAAACGTTTTTCGTAAAAACGGCTATTTTTGGAGTTTTGGCCCTCTGGAGGCTAAACCGCTGAACTGAGGTCAAATCTAAGAATAAAATTCAGAAAGGCCTGTGAAAGAGCTATCGAATGCGCTTTTCCGCGGCGCTGCAGTTTTATTGGTTCCCAAGTTATGCGTCGGGTGTTTCGAAAATTGTGGAAATAGACAAAATTTGATCTTAAATGACCTCTGGTGACCTGACCTTTGACCTGACCTAAAATGACCCAAATATTTCTGCAATTATTTTTTACGCTCTTTCGAATGCCGCTTGCCCCGTGTGGCTACGTGGCCCAGAAGCCGAGTTAGGGGGGAGGGGTTTCATACACCCTCGGCCCGGCGCGGTTGGTAGGTACCGTGTACCGGCCCGGCGTGGGTTTTATACTTAATGCAAGTATATTTGTGAAAGTTTCAGGTTTAATTTAATCGGCAGATAAATATTTATCAAAAATATGCCCATGAACTATATGTAAGAGATGACAACGATCGGAAAATTACCAATTTCGCGATGGACGCTAGGTCGCCCACGTGGGTATGAAAACAACGATTTTCATGACAAAGGATACAATCTCAAACACTTAACCTGTCTCTAACGATTCTTGCCATTCTCATTCCATAGATATCTTCTGAGCTAGCTGAGAAACCATGCTCCGCAGAAAAATCACTTAATTAGCTCCGATACGACGCCCTCAACACGCACGAGGCCGGCCGCGTCCTTAGTGAAGATAGTTCACCTAAATGCCCACCAGGTGGCAGGGGAGACAGGTCGCGGGGGGAGTTGCCGATCCGTTATGTGATCCGTGGTTAAACTCAACAGCGTCTCCGCACAACGCCCACGTTCCGTTGGTGACAAGTGTAGGCGCTTTGTGACTTCTGTGTTCGCTCTTTTTTATTGAGGGATGTGGTGTAGGCGCTCAACTAGTGTTAAGAGTAAGAACTGCAACTTTCGGTGTTCGATCGTAGAGGGCGGGCCTATCTGCCTGCCGGCGGAGGTCGCTGACCGGTCGCAGGGCAGTGTGTGATCGGAGCCGAGCGCAGAGAGTGCGGCACCTGTACTGAATTGTGATCTTGATCGGGAAACAAATACAAGTGAGTACGACACGCTACACAAGCACGCACTGGCGGCTTCATGTCACTTCATGAACTCGACAAACCCGCGTTGCTAAGCAACCGAAACAGCTGATGCGTACTCTTATCGCCCGCGTCCTCTTACCCGCCCTTACCCTAACTCGCACCTGAACGTGGTGTCTACTATGACGAAAGAAACTCTTTGAAAAAGCGTCATAGCGCTGAAGTGATGTTGAAGACTGGAATGAAGTAGGAAGTCAAATCGAATCCTCTGTCCTAATCCCAATCGAAAACCTATGGGAAATCATGAAGGAGGAGCTCAGCAAGATTGACCACAGACAACAGCGCTCTCGGATACCTGCTCCAGGCCACAACCAGCCACAACGGAACCCAAATGTTCCTCACGAGTTGTGAGGGATGCATTGAGGCTGCTCGTGCTCGATTCCGAGTTCGAGGTGCGGCATCGCCCGGGGCCCGAAATACCGCACGTGGATGGACTGAGCCGTTAGTCTTGGAGGACAATGAAAGAAAGGCAAAGCCAAAAAGTGACCGTGGTCATCGATCTCGACTCGTGCACTCGGTCGGTCTGTACCGTCATTGAGATGGGAATCAAACCACTGAGTGCCGAGGAGCTGCGAGCAGAGCATGGCTCAAGGATGAGCAGTTGGAGCCGATTATACGATTCAATGCATACTAATGTGTCACATGCATAGGCAGAAGGATGTGGGCACGCGTTTCATGATAGAAGAATATGCCTACTATCGCGTAATTTCTTCGTTTTTCCCAACTAAATATTAATTATTGTCCCTCGTTTTTAAATTACAGTGGCCGAAATCCAACGAGGAACGCAGATTTGGGGGTAGGTGGGTATTGGCGACCATACTCAAGCAAAGCTGGAAAAGTGTCCCTAGAAGTTCTGAAACCGTGGTGACGCCGCTGCCAATCATTTGGCATTGTTACACTTAGTGGGAAGGAGTCTGTGTCGAAACGGAAGTACAACCGCGTAGTGGTCCTCGGTGACACCCATTTAGTGTCATTTTCTCTTCAGTGTCATGTTTCTGTTCAATGTCACCCTGGCCTTGTTGAGTGTCATCCTGTCTCTGTTCCATTGTTTGGTGTCATCCTGACTCTGTTCAGCTGTTTAGTGTCATCCTGTCCTGTCTCTGTCCAGCTGTTTAGTGTCATCCTGTCTCTGTTGAATTGTTTGGCGTCATCCTGTCTCTGTTGAATTGTTTGGTGTCACCCTGTCTCTGTTCAATTTCACAAAGTCCCTGTTCAGCGTCACCCTGTTCCTGCTCGCAGAGTGCAGCTGATATATCGGTATTTACCTCTATTTTAGACGCGCTGTCAAAGAGTCCGTACGAGGTGGACCTGGTCACCTGCTGTCTGGGCGACCTCAATACCATCATTAGGGCCGGCATGAACTGGCCGGTGGTGTACGGCGTGGGCGTCAACGTGGAGACCGGCGAACTCTTCCCGGCCACATTCCCCGACAAGGGTCCAGAGATGGCGCTGCGGTCGGCGCGCTTCTACACCGGCGGACACCAGGTGACAGCCGGCGGCGCGCCCCTAACCCCCCCCAACGGCCGGCGGCGCGCCCCTAACCCCCCCAACGGCCGGCGGCGCGCCCCTAACCCCCCCCCCCCCAACGGCCGGCGGCGCGCCCCTAACCCCCCCCCCCAACGGCCGGCGGCGCGCCCCTAACCCCCCCAACGGCCGGCGGCGCGCCCCTAACCCCCCCCCCCCCAACGGCCGGCGGCGCGCCCCTAACCCCCCCCCCCCCAACGGCCGGCGGCGCGCCCCTAACCCCCCCCAACGGCCGGCGGCGCGCCCCTAACCCCCCCCCCCCCCAACGGCCGGCGGCGCGCCCCTAACCCCCCCCCCCCCAACGGCCGGCGGCGCGCCCCTAACCCCCCCCCCCCCCCCACGGCCGGCGGCGCGCCCCTAACCCCCCCAACGGCCGGCGGCGCGCCGCGACCCGCTCAGCGGCTAGCAGTCAGTCATTCTGGCCGTGGCTCATAATGTCCAGGGCATGGTGTTTGAAATGGCCGGTGGTTGAATTGGTACACGGTTCATAATAGCCGTTTTCACGACGGGCTATCCGGCGATTGTACCTAATTTGACAAATCTGCACCTTATCTCTTTTGCAGCAAATATCTTCATTTTATGAATTTATTTAAGTGTTTTTAATCGATGATACTCTCTGATGATATGACAAAGCAGGTATATAAGCAATTAGCGCAAACCTAGAGCTGCTAGCTATTAAGAGATAGACTGAACCTAATTTGACCAAATCTGCACCTAATCTGCACCAAATGTGCAGGGGCGCGGGAACTACTTTCCGACTGGGGGGGCACACCATGATAGAGATTAACCTAGGGTACCCCCAAATCTAGTTTTCTCACCGGTTTTAGGCCACTAATTTTCCACCCCTCAGCTTTTTCAACAAAAAAAAGAAAACATTTGCAAAAAAAGTGTGGTATTCCGTCTCAAAGCTGTGGGGGCACCGCCCCCACGGCCCCAGAGTTGGGGGGGGCAAGCTGCCCCCACTGCCCCCCCCCGGCTCCCGCGCCTATGCAAATGTGCACCAAATGTGTACCAGATGGCCGTCGTGAAAACGGCTACTGTCCAACAATTACATTGTCCTGTTGTGGCCAATTATAGGCCGCAGTTAGGATATTTCCACATAAATGACTGATCATATTGGCCGGTTCTGCGACACCTGAGCGAGCGTCATTTCGTACGCTCGCAAAATAGAAAATAAAAAATACACCGTTACGGGACGATGAAGTGTTTCGCTGAAATGACAGTCGCTCAAACTGTAGTCGACGAAAAAGATGTCGCTGAAACATAGCTTTCGCTTAAATTGATAATCGCTATATTTGATAATCGCTCAATTTGATATTCGCTTAGTTGCCAGTCGCTGAAAATGGTTCGCTCAAATGACGCTCGCTCAAATGACACTCGCCAAAGTCGCTCGCACCGATTTTGTCCAAAAGAGGCCAAATGGATGCACAGTCCTGTGTTAAAAGTGTTCAAGGAATATGTTGGCCATAAGTGTGGAATGATCGTGGAAGTGATGATCGTTATGGCCAGTGATTGAATTGGCCAGTGGTTAAATTGGCCAGTCCTAGCAGCGCCCCGGCCAGATCAGCCAGGGTATATAGAACAACGGTTACGCCAACGACGCGGAAAGCGCCCATTTTACCTGGACGATTTACAGGGTAGGTGATATATTTTTTGTTTATGGAAAAAATAGAATATTTGTTTATGACGAGTAAAGCTAAATTAATAAAGCAGTTATTTTTAAATTATATGTACCAGAAATAACATACTAACCTCAGTTTAAAACTTAGTCTAAAGTTAGTTGAAAAGGGCATAGTTGATACTAAGATGGAAGGAATCAATGGAAGGCAGAAATGACGCAGCTGCTCCATTCTTAAAACGTGTTCGCAAGCAGGATTTACGTGACGCTAGCGACATCTTTTAATGTAAGCCGGGACTGGCTGATTGAGACCGTGAGCAGTAGGTATCAGTAATTTACGGCAGTACAGGGTTGAGGTAATATGCGCATGCGCAGGAACTTGTGCTCTCATGGAGGAGCTTTTGATACGTCGGGCAGCGCCCAATGCTTTTTGGGCCTGTTATGGCCTCTGCATCGAAAAACGCTAGATAAAAAGGTTGTAGGGAAAGCTTGACGCTACCTTTCCTCACAATAAAATTGGCACTTTCTCTTTTGGGTTACGTGTGAGGCTCGCTTGAAAAAAGGTCGATTTAACATGGGAACCCTATGGGGTAGTAGTTTTTGAGTGCCCATTTGGCCTAATGCTACCAACTGTTACTGAGATCAGCGGCCGTATAGACCAGTCGTTGAATTGTTCAGCGTTCTTGTCGACCAATAGCCGCTGAGACCAGTGATCATTTTGTCCACAGTTTATACTGTCCGTAGGATGCGTCAAATATCCGGCCAGAAATGAATTATGGGGCCTTGGGACACTTTGAACCATGTGCTGTAAATTGTAATGATCGTTGTGGCCAGTGTTTGAAGGTGAAGTTAGGTGTAAAGTTAGGTTAGGTTAGCTACCCTGTTACGCTATCATTACGTTCGTTATCGTACGTTGCTCTATCGTTATCGTATTGTTCGGTTGAATCCCCCCTCCCTCATGCGTAACGTAATTCCTGGACGGCCCCAGTCGGGTGGGTGCCTTTTTTACCGCTCACTTCTGGCCTGCAGTGCACCGAACTGACCCTGACTGCCGGCGCAGAGGGCGCCTCACAGATCGGACAGCTGCTCGCCCGGGGCTGCGGTGAATAGGCGGGTTTGGCGAGGATGTCGGCCACCAATTAGCGTGGGCAGCATCGCGACGCTCACTTGAAGTCTCTGGGTTGGGGCGCTGGCACTGGCAGGCAAAGGCGTAGTCGGTGTAGTTGTCGTGTCCCATCATGGTTTTGCATGCTCTTTTTCTGGAATTGATTTCACTTCACTAGATCACAAATCACAAAATTCACTAAATCACAAAAAAACATCTGGGGAATAAATGACACCAAGTTTCCAGCTCCATAACGATGTCTGCCTCGATAGTGGAGTAGTTAGGACCGTGGACTATCACCGGGGAAACCCGAGTTCGTTTTCCGCTGACTTCAGGAGCTTTCGAACGGTATGACACGTACAGTAGGTCTACTAAAAAAGTCCCCCGCTCCAGGGGCGGCCGGCCGGCCGAACCCCCGGATTCCAGCCCCGACTCTATTGCGCAGGCCGCGGCAGTGACACGGGTCAGGTCGCGGCGCCCGGCGAGTGGGTCAGTTGGCGGCGGCCGGCCGTGGAGTGAGGACGCCGTGTGTGGAGCGCAGAGATGCCGCAGTGCAGAGGAGGGGAAGATAGTGACTCTGCACGATGCCGGAAACGATGCCTTTGTGATCTAAATTAAACACCTGCACTGCAGTGCATATCCTCCCTTGCCCCATTCCTATTATATCATAATCCTTCAATAATCCGTCGAGGGGTATATATGTATCATATGCCGAGTATTTTATTCCTATCTAGCAAATTAAGATTGGGGATCTTGTCCAACAAGTCAGCGGCCGTTCTAGACACAGATAAATGCTTTGTTTTCGGTCGCATCATCATCTGCAATAATTCGAAGCGAGGTTTAACCCTCGCCGGCCGAGAAGAAGGGGTGGATGCCGCCACCATGTATTTTTTTTTTGCGGTAGCTCAAAGCACACTGATGATAGAAGGCTGACATTTCATATGCCTTACATTTGATTCAAGCCGGATCATTTGAAATCAACCACGTTTTCATGTCAGGTCACTTAACTATGACGTCTTAAGTAAACCTCTGCAGACTGCACGGTTGTCGGTTATAAAATGATGCAAATCCGTAATTAGTGTCACATAAGCATAATGGGAAAATATGGAAACTGTTAATTTGGCGTCGGAAATGAGCTAAAACTATACCTCACGCACATGAAATCGTGACTTCATACATTCTTGGCAAGGTTTAATGCTTCACTTGTGCATTGTTCACCTTGCGTGACGGAGTGCTCGTCAATAGGAGTGCTTCGTCAATAACTCCCGATCAAAGTGAGCTAGCCAGTCGGGACAGCCATCAATGGACTCTGCAAAACTGGCCGAATCAAATGTTACGCAGCATGTCCTCCTTTCAACAGCTTCGTGACCTGTGTTGCCCTAACATGACATTGACCTAAACATCCTAAATTGCTTCACCTAAGCGAAAAAGCATATAAATCGACGCGTCTGAGAACAGAAAACACGATTGTATCGAAATGACGATAATGCGACCTTTTTTGCGAAGTTATTCACCAAAAACCGATCCAATGCCTTGGGGCCCTTGACCTGCCCTAAGAGGTCACTGATATTTTAAAATGGGGTGACAATCTCGGCGTCACGTAACGACGCAAGCGCTCGTTTTTTCCGCGAGGCTCTAGCAATTAGCTCAATTATAGGAGCTAAACATGGGGTTGGGGAATCGCTCCCTTCTCACTCACTATTTGGCCGGGATAGTGTTTGCAATTATTGTTAAAATCTAACATTTTAAGATTTCAAATGATCCATTTTTTGCCGCCCAAGTCTTTCAATTCAAGGTCATAACACCAGTTCAGCGATTTCAATGGGCAACAGTAGGTATATGTATTTGAAACGTTTACTTTGCAAGTTTGACATCGCTGTCAGAAAGGTCGGGTCAATTTTGAGATCGCTAAAGTCAATGGTAAAAGTTGAACTGCGCTTTTTTTGGACGGAACGCATAATAAACACTCTGAAAACATGTGGTTCCTGATGAGATACAATACTGAATGAGAAAATTGTTTGTTTTGTTGGGAGCCATCTTTTTCGGTCTGAGAAGGCCCTTGCAGAGCTATGACATAACTATGCTCTGGTGTAGTAATTTGGTTGTGCGAGCCAGCGACAGTGATCTGCGGACTCCGGAAGCGTGACTGTTCCCGTGGGACGATTGCCCTGTCGGGCGGTCCAGCCGTCTCTCCAACGGTCACCCGAAGAGGGTTATGTGTCTTGGAGTGGAACCGAC